GTCAAACTAGTCTATGACGTCATATTTGTCAGTACAGCAAAATTAAGTTAAGTATAATTACAAAAATCATGTGACTTTTACATCACGTGACAAGTCTAAATAAAAATCTAAATGTACTAAACAAATTTATCCTTTTATTAAACCTATGTAACGAAATAAATGTGATTATTATATTTTTTGAAACTAATTTTTTGGCATTTAAAATTTGCATATTTATGAAGTTGCAAACATCTAATGCATTTTGTAATGCTGTCAATTAATTGCAAATCCTTGTAGCTGTTCCTTTTTCAAGATTTGGTCAAACTTAAAAAAAAAAATCCTGAGATGAAACTAAAAACAAGCAGGACATTCATAATATTTTACTCATTTGAACTTGTTACTTTGTTTATTTATTTATTAAATTCATGGGCAACTGCAAACTCAGATACTTTCAATCAAAAATTTACCCCCACCCCCACCCCCTTCTGATTTTTCTTTTAAAACTAATGAAACAACTTTAAACTTGAGAAAAATTACATCTGTTTAAAAAAAATCACATCCTCTTGGATAAGTTATCTTGAATTTAAACATAAATATCCAACAATGGAAAACTTTAAACATAGTGTTTGGCATATAATTAATAATTAGATTTGCAATGGATCATCTGTATTCTGTAAAGTCAGTTGAAAGAATCCCCCATGAGACACTGTCTCCCACAAGTATCATTTTAAGGAGGTTCTTCATTTTACTTGGTTCCTACCAACATCTCATCACACCAGCTATATCAATGATGAATCTCCTCTTTTTTTTACACATGTAAATATAAATTCCAATAAAACAAGATAACTTTTCGCTCTTTTTAATTTTTATATTTGCAACCTTTCGGGTACATGTATTCTCAACTACACAGTATTAGATTTATGTGACAAATTTTACTGTTTCTGCTGCTCTGAAAATCTTGACTCCGGTTTTTCCACGTTAAAGTTTCTATTGGTCAGACATGCACCAGTAATGACCTACATTGACATTCACAAGTAAAACTGATAATTAGTTAATGAGAATTATGCTGAGTTGAGGGATTTTTTTGGCAAGGTACAGGATAACGCTTTATAAGTTCTAAAACATATCGGTATACGGTACAAGATTTGAGGATGCAGTCACATAATGTGATAAACATGTTCTTGCTATATTTGAACTTTGACATCTCAAACACTGAAATCTTGAAGACAGTGGGTACAAGTAAGTTGAAGTGGGTTGGAATTCAGCTTTCACTTGCCTGGTTTCAAACCTAAATGATATGGCATCCCTTCTTAACCTGCAATGGTAAATAATTCCTGCACTTTCCAATATACACCCATTTCAAGCTAATTAAATGTGTAACTATGTAAACCTTTAGAAAGTTGTTTTCTTTGTTCTAGTATAAGAATTGATCTGTTACTGGACAGGTATTAAATCATGTTAAAAAAAAATAAGCAATGTTAAAATTTCAATAAACTGAAATATTTTGTAACAATTTACTTTACTTTCATATTTTAAGAATGGTTACCTTGAAAAGAACAAAATCTTGGCCGTCCACTTTCTTGCAGAATGCTCTTGAACTTCTACAGTCATGGCCTATTTGGTCTTGTTCTGGTTTAATGGTCTTGCTTTTTCTTTATTCATCTTATATGGTAAATCCTTTGATGAAAAAATAATGAAAATAATTATTTTTCTAGAAACATGATCAAAAGAAAAATTCATTTATTCATACACAGACATGTTCATGTGTGTGGTCATCTTACCAGTAGTGGATCTTTGCCTGAGTATCAAATATACTGTAATTTGTTTAGAATATTATAAAACATGGTGAGTGTTTATACAACAGATATTAATCAGAGGTGAATATTCTACATGTATGTAGTTTTATCAAGTTCTGTTTTAACAATAATACATAAATACAACTACAAGTGTACATATATATTTTTTACTGTTTGCTATTTGGAAAGATTATTATTATACGCACAAAATTGAACTATAGATTACACAGTAGCGGTACTTCACAGATGAATGAAAGAGTCTATATAAACAAAAAAAAATCGATAAATATATCCAGTGCATTCTTAACCTATATCTCTTATGTCATTTGGATATATATAATAAATTTAAAGTTTAAATGATAGAAGCTTTTAAATAAAAATATGACATCAAAACAAACATGCTGTTTTCCTTTTTTTCTGCTTATGAACATCGCATGACCATATTTTGCTGATATATAGAATACTATAAAAAAACTTAGTTACTTTAAGCTTATGCTCACATATTTTAAACGTTTGATATACTTTTTTTATAGAAACAAACTTGCTCTAGTTTAATATTTTAACAACACAATTCTGTAAAATATGTGCCTAGTACCAATAAAGAATTGAAATAATAGGGTAAACAATGAAAAAAAACTTAAAGAAGTGGAAATTTATGTTTTAAAGATAAACTAGAGGTACTGTGAGCAATGAGCTCACTAAATGATACCCCCCGCCTCCCATAATGTCCATGTGATGCTTTATATTGTTTTACGGTAATGTGTAAAGAGGAATAACTCGTCCTATCAAATGTTATCCAGAAGCTTCTATACGTGACGTCATAGGTAAACATATAATCCATGTTTTGCTATAGGAAACCTAAAATACGTGTCAAATAAAAAAGGAAAATAGAAGGTGCACAATGGCAATATGTAATAAAGATTCTGTGAAAGTTTCAATAAATTTCACTCGGTAGTATAAGAGGAGTTGCGGATAAGAGATAAAGCGTAACAGACGGACGGACGGACGGAATCCCGATAACTATATACCCTCTCACTTTTCAAGCGGGGGATATAATAATGTTCACATAGTCTCTCTCAGCACATCATCAAAAGTAAACCTACTGAATGGCACAAATTTTATATAATCTCATTTATATTCCGGAGGGGGGGGGGGTATCAGCTGTATCAGACAGTAATGTTTATATGCTTCAAATTCATTTTTTTAATAAAAATAATTAATTTATTGGTCAGAGAGTCAAACTGTCATAACGTATACTTCGCTTGATTTGGTAAGGAACAGCTAGGAATCACCACTGACCACTACCGGTAAAACCATTGGGTATTGTAGGGCAAGTAAAATTAAGAAAAATATGCATTGGTTAATCTTGATATTTTTGTAATGCTCACAATATACATAAAATTACCTTCTGTCTTCATCGTTTAAGATGTCTAGCCTTTTTTTCGTCTTCCAGACTGTAAAACTTTGATGAGACCTTTCGCCAGAAAATGTTCATGCGATGTTTACTAAATACACATTGTACCTCCAAACGCCAGAGAGTAGTTCAAGGGAAGTAATTAGGAAGCAAAAAATGGTTCAAAATGTAGAAAAAGGTAATCTTTAACTTTGCATTTCTTTTACATCTTTGAATCTCCCACCAATATTTTACATAGTTTGATATAATCAAATATCAGCCTTTCATAATTAATTATTACTAAGTTTGTAATCAGTGCGCTTTTTTGGTTTAAGCCTCCAAAAACTCCACGAAACCAATCACCCATCTGATATTTTGTTATATGTAAAATGAACATTTACTTTTGAGAGATTAAATTAGAACTACAAATATAATTACTTTAATTTGTAGTTTTAAATTTATATAATTAAGGACAGATGATACAAACAAATTGTTTGGTGAATTTGAAGAGGAAGATCGAAATGAAAAAAAATGGCAATATCACATAGGCTGATATTTACCATTTAGCTTTTCCTAATAAAATTCACCTGGCTTGGTATATTTTTCTTAAGTTTCTATTACACTTTTAGCGCCAAGATAACATATTCTGAAATTTATTTTCACCTGTAAACCTTTCCTGAATGTGATTTGTCTATATTTGTTTTTTCATTGAAAAAATACTAATGTTTTCAAAGTGTTTTTCATATTCCAGTTCTTCGGAGAAAAAAATCTAAGAACCATTCACTTTTCTAAACTTGTGACATGATATTTAATCTTTTTGAAAGAAAAAAATTGTTTGTATCATCTGTCCTTAAAACATATTATGTTATAGCTTTTCATTTCTGGACACAGTTTTTCCTGATAAGTACGTTTTTCAAAATTAACGAAATTGAAGAATTTTGCACCCCGTTTCTATGGCAACCAAGGGTCTATTTCATAAACCCACTTTAGATTTTACAATTTTATGTAGTTGTATAAAATTATTATAAAAAAATCAAAATGTTTTACTATGCGTGACCAACCTATTTTGATAATTACAGGGAATTGATATTAAAAATATTTCTCTTAGGTTTTCGTTATCGTTATCGTTTTCAATTTCATCTACATAAATACTAAGTATTTCATTAAGCAGCTTAAGTGTTAATGGAACCGATGTATACAGACAGAAAACGCCTAAACAACATTTAAGGTAGGATGATAAAAAATTACATCCGCATATTAAAGACTAATTAAACCAATTTTACAATTAAGAAACCTTTTCCGAGTGTTACTAAACATCTCACAGAGGTATTGAGGTAGGCCGATCGGGAGGCTCAGAATTGATTCTTGAAACTTTTCCCTCGGCAGTTTCGCCACCTCAGTGAACCAAAATTTGCTATATACTTCGTACAAATTTCATAACTGTATACTATTTACCTGAAACACTTCAGCCTCTATGTGTTTTACTATTTGTTAGTATTTAATTTGTTTTCTCAAAAAATCGTTCCATTATTTGGGTTATTTCTTGAAGAGATGGTGAAATTATAAATTGAGGAATTCATTTAAGTATTCTGGAATATACACCAAGGTCATGCTAGTTATTTTTCTTCCCTAGAAGTCTTTCGGTATCTTATGTTTAATCTTTTTTCTCTGTTAAATAAATGCAGTTTCTCTCTTAAAACGCAACAGCAGTTAAGATATATGAATATATTGTTCATTAATTTTGACAGAAAGTGCAGGATCTGAATAGAAGAAAATGCCCTTTTTCTGGAGAAACAGTGAATCTAAAGATTTTAAAAATATTTATTCTCCGTTTGCCATAGTCATGGACTGCTTGTATTCTGACCCACTCTTCCTTTCATGAAATCCATATGTGATCCATTAGTAGATCATTTCCTTCAACACCAACTAAAAAAAAACAAACTTAAAACATACAATGTATATTAATTATGCTGCTGATCAAGGTAAATAATTATTATATACAAGAAAATTAGTTTTGAAAATTTCAGTAGGAATAGATTGGTTTTTATTGTTTTACTTTTTTAATATTTTTGTAAAACTCGCGTTTATTACAGGTCGCCGATATTGCGCATAGATCCGGTTAAAGTATCATAATCTTTGAAACAAAAGGTTGTATATTAAAATAATTATTTTCTTTATAAAATGAGTCGAAACTTAATAAAAATTTAAATTTTCAAAAATTGACAGAAAAAGCGAGGCTGGCCATCCGAACGGGATATCATCCGATCAATCATGTAATTATGGCTTAATATGAATGGACCCACGTCAGACACCAAAAAAAATATTTAATCAAATTGAAATCATATGAATATATTTTGTCTGTTCATTCGAAATCGAAGTATAAAGCTTTCCAACGATTTGTAAAATTTTAAAAACAATACAAGAAGTTGAAATAGCTGTAATGGATGAAAATAGGGTATCCTTTTTATGACATTGTTATAAATCTGGGACACTCGGACTTGGCTCTGCAGGGTGGTCTATATGAATGATGCACGTTAATTAGCCAGTATTTGGATTTGGATTTCAAAAGTTAAAACAATTAGGGTCACCACAATTGTATTATTGAACTCATTTTGCAGTGGGACTTGTTAAAGAAAATAAGCGTGTGTATTACAACATGATATAAAAATTCAAAATCCATATTTTTGATTTTATTGTGAAATTAGTGTTACGTCAAACTGACCAATATAGCTAGCATGTAAAAAATTTTTAAAAACTTTAATGTTAAAAAAAGTGTGCATTAATTAGGGTCTTCCGTCTCCAGCGGAAGACCCTTCTATTATTCTATTGTTTCTTTTTCACTTTTATTATTATTTTTTCTTTACACATTTTTGTGCAGACGATTTCTCGGAGATGCTTGAGTGGATTGACTTGAAATTTACAGGAATGATGTATCGTAAACAAAACTTTATTCAGATATTTATTTTTTCGAAAAATCACTTCCGGTCGGAAGTTATCGCCCTTTAATCGAATTTTTAGTGTCCATTTTGTCCGGACAAAAACTAAAAAAACGACAAAAGCTAGATTGCTGTCATTTTCAGAATAATAGACAACCTATTGTAGTTTTGCACCTATACTTTCAAATCTTTCGGAAGTGCTTAGTATTGAAGCTCGGTAGGGGTAAAAATTTAGGACACAAATCATGACTCAAATTTTGAGACATTTTGCATCATATCTTTTATAGTATAATTATTTTGTTAAAACATACTCAGGAATATTTGTGCAAAATGACAAGATCTTTAATATGATATCAGGAAAAAAGTGCTGACTCATCACATTAAGGGCTGAGAGAGGTTGAGAGAGGCCAAAAGTCTTTATTCGATAACTCTGTAACGGTCAATAATTTGTTATACATTACTGAAGCAAAATTGTTTCCCTCAACAATTTACACCTATATATTGTAATTTTAATGTCGTATGAAACATAATTAGGGGCCACAGGGGCCAAAATGCTAAATCTTTGAAGCTATATATCTCAAAAGTGGGAAAAATTTTGATAAATAATATTGAACAAAAGATGTTCAAAATCATGTTCTGAACAATATGCAACTTTTCATTTTTCGCTGAACGTCCCCGGTAGGGAGTTGAAGGGTTGGTCCCTACATGATTCTTTTGCGAATAACTCGAAAACGAAAAAGAATCTCTGAAAAGTTGTTGAATAAAAAGTGTTCAAAATCTTATGAGCTTTACGATGAAATCAAGAAAAAGGGGCTGGACACTCACATTAGGGGCCAAGAGGGGCCAAAAGTCTTTATCTGATAACTCTTTAGCAGTTTATATGTTGTTATACATTGCTGAAGCAAAGATGTTTATTTCAACCATTTACAACCATAGATTATGATTTTAATGTCACATGGTACATAATCAGGGGCCACAAGGGGTCAAAATACTTAATCTTTGACACTTTATATCTCAAAAGTTGGAGATATTTTGATAAGTAATATTGAACAAAAGTTGTTTTGAACAATATGCAACCTTTCATTTTTCGCTGAACGTCCCCATGAGGGAGTTAAAGGGTTGGTCCCTAAATGTTTCTTTTGCAAATAACTCAAAAACGAAAACAGAATCTCTGAATAGATGTTGAACAAAAAGTGTTCAAAATCCTAAGAGCTTTCAGGTGAAATCAAGAAAAAGGGGCTGGACACTCAAATTTTGGGCCAGGAGGGGCCAAAAATCTTCAATCAATAACTATTTAACAGTTAATAATTTGTAATTCATTACTGAAGCAAAGATGTTTATTTCAACCATTTACAACTGTATATTATGACATTAATGCCATTTGTTACAAAATGGGCCAAAATGCTAAATCTTTGACGCCTTGTATCTCAAAAGTGGAAAATATTTTAATAAGTAACATTGAACAAAAGATGTTCAAAATCATGTTCTTAACAATATGCAACCTTTTATTTTTCGCTAAACGTCCCCATTAAGGAGGTGAAGGACTGGTTTTTAAATATTTCTTTTGCAAATAACTCGAAACGAAAAAGAATTTATGTATAGTTGTTACACAAAAAAGTGATCAAAATCCCGAGAGCTTTATGATGATATACAGAAAAAAGGGCTGATCCCTAATGTTTAGGGCCGTTACAGGCCAAAAGTCGATTTTTTAAGTCTTTAATGTTCAATTTCTTTTAACAGATTATGGAAAATCACTACTTTAAAATGAAAATCTCATTCAAAATCTTATCTCATCTTATCAAGAATTGGACGGAAGACCCACTCGTTGCTCGCAACGAGATCGTATCTAGTTAAGGTCTTCCGTCTCCAACGGAAGACCTTATTGTTTTCGTTCTGTTTCTTTTTCCCTCTTCTTATTATTATTTTTCTATATTCTTACCGATTTTGTGCACGCAAGTTCTCGAAAACGGCTCGATGGATTTTCATGAAACTTTCAGATCTAATAGATATTGGTCTAAACCTTATTGGACATTTTTTGTATTGAGATCGTCACTTTCGGTCGGGAGATATGGACGATTTTCTTATTTTCAGAGGGTCTGCTTGTCCGCGTAACTCCACCTAAACGACTTAAGATATGGAGTTGAGATTTTCAGTGTAGATAGAGAATGGATTGTAGAAGTGCCATTTTGAGCCTATATCTTTTCAGCCCAAAAGGCACTGAAGCTAGTCTGGGTTTAAAAAATGACTCAAAAATATCTCACAAAATTTAACAACTTTTTTTATTATATCTTCTTATCTATAAACATTTTGTTAAAACATTTAGAAGAAAAGTTATTCAAAGATGCGAGATCTCTAATTTGATATGGAGAAAAAGGGGCTGCCTTTTCTAATAAGGGGCCTAGAAGGGCCGATAGACTTTCATCTATAACTCGTTCACTATCAATGTTTTGTTATAAATTACCGAAGCAAAAATGTTTACCTTAACAATTTTCAACAATATATTACAAAATTTTGATCATATGTTACGTAATTAGGGGTCACAAGGGGCCAGAATGCTAAATCTTTGAGGTTTTATACATATGTATCTCGAAAAGGGCGAATATTTTGATAAGCAATATTGAGCAAAAGATGGTCAGAATAATGTTTTGGACAATATTTATACTTCAATTTTTTTGCAAAACGGCCCCATTAAGGACTTGGAGGGACAGCCCCTAAATATTTCCATTCAGAATATATCCACAACAAAAAGAAATCTCTGAATAAGTGTTGAACAAAAAATTTTTGAATTCACAAGACCTTTCATTTGAAATCAAGAAAAAGGGGCTGACTCTTCAAATTAGGGGCCAAGAGGGGCCAAAAGTCTTTTATCTTTAGCACGTTAACGATCAATATTTTGTAATTTATTACTTAAGAAAAAATGTTTATCTTGACGATTTGCAACTATATATTATAAAATTTTGATCATATGTTACGTAATTAGGGGTCACAAGGGGCCAGAATGCTAAATCTTTGAAGTTTTATATCTCGAAAAGGGCGAATATTTTGATAAGCAATATTGAACAAAAGATGATCAGAATAATGTTTTGGACAATATTCATCTTCAAATTTTTGCAAAACGGCCCCATTAAGGACTTTTAGGGACAGCCCCTAAATATTTCCATTCAGAATATATCCACAACAAAAAGAAATCTCTGAATAAAGGTTGAACAAAAAGTCTTTGAATTCACAAGACCTTTCATTTGAAATCAAGAAAAAGGGGTTGACTCCTCAAATTAAGGGCCCAGAAGGGCCAAAAGCCCTTTATCTTTAGCTCGTTAACAATCAATATTTTGCAATACATTACTGAAGAAACTGACAATTTGCAACTATGTATTATAAAATTTTGATCATAAGTTACGTAATTAGGGGTCACAAGGGGCCAAAATGTAAAATTTTTGACGGTTTATATCTCAAAAGGGGGGAATATTATGATAAGCAATATTGAACAGAGGATGATCAGAATACTGTTCCAAACAATATGCATTGTTTGAGTTTTTGAAAAACGGTACATTAAGGACTTGCATAGGTGGCCCCTAAATATTTCCATTCAAGATATCTTTTCAACGAAAAGAAATATGTGAATAGGTGTTGAACAAAAAGTCTTTGAATTCACGAGACCTTTCATTTGAAATCAAGAAAAAGGGGCTGGCCCCCTCAAATGAGGGACGGAGAGGGGCAAATCACTGTCATCTATAAGTATATTGTTAAATAAATCAATACAATTCAATCAAGTAAGAGAAGTCTTGATCATTTCTCGTTTCTCCATAGCTTTCAAAGAAAAAAATCAGTGTAAACTCAACGTTAAAATGCACTTATGACATATAAAATTTATTGCAATTTGAAGTGCAAATTGTATTGGAACTACAGAGAGGTATTATGTTTGACATTTTGCCGCGATGACGTATGATTTGGTGGATTTTCCTTTCCTGCACCCCAATACACAAAACGTCAACATTTGTACTTAATCATGTTAAATTCGTCTGAATGCAGACTATGTTAAGTATTATTAATTTACAGGAGAGTTAAGATATTTTGATTTTCAGAATTGATTTTACTTAATATTCCACAGTCTATAATTGTAAACCCTACATTGTATGCACGTGTCATTTTAGAATTCACGTGTTACAAGTAAACGGATCTAAGTTGTACGACCCTTGATGTTCCGGCAGATTCTAATTACGTTAATTTTGTATGAGGAGGGAATAAAAATTTTTCTTAAATGCTTAATTCAACTTTTTACTTTATTCCTGTATGATATATTGGGTAAATTTGAATGAAAAGCACACGATTTGCAACCGTATAGCCGCTTTAAGAAACTAAGTATCGTACATGCTTGTCATTGCGAGCTTAAGTAAAAAATATCTTTGTCCACAAATTTTTGGACAACCCTCGTGCAAATCTATTTAAATTATTTGGGCATTTTATAACTTTAAATTTCTCAAAGAAACTCCAATGTTCAGAACGAAAATTCTTTTAATGATGTACGATATGTACTACGAGTGAAAAGGCAACGAAGAATCACCTTGAACTATGATGAAAAGAAATATATATACATTGTAAACATTGTAAACTATGAACTTCTGTTTATCCAAACTGGATAAAAATGGAATTATTTATAAATTTAGTTATGTCTATGGACGGCTACAAATCAACTCATAAAATTCATGTTCAAGGGAGTATAACATTCACTTGACTAAGGGAATTCATTGAATTATCACAGATAACTTAGGTAAGTAATTAAAAAAAAAGAAGTTAGAGTCACAAAAAAACTTCCATCTACAAACCTGATGAAATACAGGAAATTGAAATCTAGCAATGTCAGAACTGCAACAGCAATCTGACGATGGAAATGACGCTGTAAGTAAAAGTAAAATTGAGACTAGTGCATCTGATCTCACCAAGACTGTGCTTGATCTCCTCAGAAGATAGCTATAAATCGCAATTTTATCTCGGAAATACTAATATGAAGAGATGCAAATGTTTTCCACTTGAATAAAATAATCAGATTTGTTTGTTTGTTTAAATTAAGGAATATAAATAAATGTAATATGTTGCCTAAAATTGAGCAACGTAAGATTCTTTATCAGGGATATATTTCTATGCATGTATTTATCGAATATTATATATTGAAGGATATGGTGGTGGGATAATGTGCCATAGAGGATTAGCATCCCCTGCCGACCGGTTAAGAATGGAAATAACTACTGGTAATCAGGAAAACAATGCCTATATATCTAAATGTCGAGTTGAAGGCCGCAGGAAGTGTTTTCTTCTTTTCACGCATAAGCTTTTGCACAAATGCTGCTTCATATGAATTCAGATATAGGTAAACTATTTTAATAACGGGAGCAATAAAATTTAACTTTGAGAGAAAAGATAGATTACTTAAACGGGGGGGGGGGGGGGGGGGGGGGTTATGGTGTATGTTTCCAATAATTTGTATTACAAACGTCGAAATGATTTTGAAAATGAAAGCATTGAAACAATATGACTTAAAACTAATATTCAAAATTCGAAACTAATATTTATTGATCGACACATAGAATCAATCTGCCACAAACTGATGGGTAGAAAATTTAACACGGGATATAAAACATAATTCCCGGTCTAACGGTACTGATATGATTTTAACAGATGTGTTTAATGAATTAATCAATTCACTGTTTAAAGACCCCCCAAGATAATGGGCGTCTGCTTTTGAAGGGTATGAGTATGAATAAATACCTCATCAACCTTTACTGACCATATACTGTGTGTGTACCTAAAATACTTTTTTATCGTCTTTGGCGCTGACAACTATGTGCTATCAATGAATAACGCTAAAAAATCACTTATAAATACAATACATGACTTGGACATGTGAAGCGCTTATTCATGAGCATGCCAATGACTAATTTCCCATCAACTTCGCTCTTGAATACGCTCATTTATGTACACTTTTGTGAATCTGCAGTACCATCAATTGCAATATCTGACCACTTTCCTGTTTTACGAGAAAATTAAATAGTAACTTCAACATTTATTCCTTTCATGCATACAATTTCGCAAAAAAATTGCTTCCTATAAATATAAGAATAGGGCTGCTCATAAAGGAGCGCAATTGGTACCCTTGGAATTCCAATAGATTGTTGGAATACCTGGTCTCCAAAAAACATATAGATATTGTCAATCAGAAACTCAAGCATCTTTTTGATGTCAACTTCAGAGCACTTCTGTGTACAATCAGAATGTGTATTTACAAAGTTATTTTGCAAAAGACCAATGACCAGATAAGTAAATTTTTATTGAAAAAGCAGCTGTCAATGATATCCATCGCATGTATTTTGTACATTGACGTACATCTATCTCCAGTATGACATATACATTTTTACAAAAGTATCAAACTGTATATCATACGTGCTTTAAATTTCAAAGACTGAATTGCATATCATAAGGCCTAGCGATCAAGTAAAATTCAAATAAAGAATAGATATCCGTTTACAAGTATTCTTCATCTACTTTCTAAATGTTTGTTAAGACTATCTTTACAAGAAGATGTTTTTTTCATTATGTGCCATACTACAAAATACTTTTGATCTTTTTATGTATCGATTATTAGAAATACCTCACAGATACATACCTTGCCAGAAAGGAGGACGCTGCTGTAGAGAAAACGGGGCAACCTGTAATTACAATGAAGGAAAAGCTACCGGTAATTAAGATAAAAGAAATATTTTTCTTTGTTTCCACTGTTCATTGTAAGAGTTACAAAAAAAACTCAAATGCTGGTTTCACTCGGAGAAATGCTTTTCAGATGTTACATGCACACTGTAACTGTGTAAATGTGATCAGGTCTGTAGTGGTTGAAAAATATTTTATATTGAAACCGAAGTCAATGCAAAAAATAGTAAATGATTGTAAATATAATTTCCGGTAATAAAAGTTGATATTTATTAATTTTTATAAATTTTTAGTAATATCAATTATCATAAATAATTTTCTCCTACTTTTCTATAAGTATAAAATGTTAAGGAAAGCTTATTAAAAAAAGAATCATTAAATTCATATCTAAATGAAAACTGCTCCTTAATATTTGTTCCTTCTTTAACTCTCGCAAACGTGGGCAAAATTGAAGAAAAAAAATAGCCCCAATTAATTAAAATTCCAAATAACATATCCGTTGTTTATAATATTACCTGTGGAAATCGTACATCTCGTACAGGTGTGTAGATCTTTTTGAATCTTTGTGACAACACCTGTAAATGGAACATAACATGAATATCTATGATTTCACAAAATCAGCTCAGATAAAAAAACTGATCATAATAATGTCGATACACGTAGCTTAATTTAACTCATTAACATATGTTACGTAATTGATTTTACTCAAACGTTACTTTTTGATATGGTCATGTAATATAATTATGTGTCTTATTGTCTTATATTGTCATTACTGTAATTTAAAACATGTAACGGAGAAAGTACGGTAGTTGCTGAATCTGATTTGATATAAAAATCAGAGCAAAGATAAAACAGTGATAGTTCGTAGTGAGGAACTTAAATTGATGCTTGCTTTAATACGAGCACTAATATTGATTCAAAGCATACACGGAAACCACAAGAGGGTGCAGAAATAGGGCGCTTTTTCGAATTTCTTAAATTTTGGTGGAATTTCATGCTAGATATACTTTTCACTTCGGTCAACACTAACCCTGACTATTTCCATTAACATAGGCAAAGGGAAATTGATATTATACCGTCTTCCTCACTAACATACGTGTAATTGTAAAACCTAAGCCAAACTAAGATGTCAAATAATGATATTTGATTTCAATCTGCAACATTTCAAAATACAATTCATATATTGATTGACAAAATCATATGATTTATTTGGGAACAGTATTTATTGAATATGGGCTAATCGTTGTTTTTTAACATATATGAACATTTAAAACATATTTCTATATTTCTAATTTTTATGCATTTTTTTTTTCGAAGTAAACAACCATTTGACAAAAGTTGTAAACATTTTAGCTTTAATTATCTTTTTTTTATCTAATAGTAATAGATTTTCACCATTGTTTTCTGTTAATGTATATTGCTTTCTGTAGAATGTATTGGAAAGAATTTTTGGCTGAATAAACTTTTTTTATAGAATTTTAAAATAGAATTAACCAGGAAGAGATCTTTATCATACTTACCACAGATAAAATAATGCAGAGAAAGAGTACATGTAATCGAAACATTGTAGTAAAACACAGATGACACAGATCTATACATTGAAATAGACAGTGAGTGGTCTATAAACCTGAACCATTCTGTTTTCTAGTTTGATTAAAATCTACGGAAGTGAAGGACAACATGCCTTAATTTGTCTTCATTCAGAAGTAATTCATTAATTCATTAATCTTAGGTGACTGGCATGCCCTTCCTTCTCATATAACCCCCTTTAAAAAAGGTAAAACATTCTATTTCTATTTCATGTACTTAAATGTTTTACGTTTTGAACAGTCTGAAACAATCCTTGTTACTTTTATTACTACAATGATTATATTTTTTCTTAATTCCCGAGCAGTCAATAGACCAGAATAAATCTTTAAGTTCCATTTTCATCGAAAAGGCAGCTGTCAATGATTTCGAATAGCCTGGACTTTAATTTATCGTGGGGAATTGTTGTCTGTAAAGTTGAAACGTAGTAAGATCTTAGGCTGTTGATTTTGGAAAAATCTTGTGATTTTCAAATGGTCCAAAAGTTCTTTAGAATTTTTAACTATCCAATCTGATTTACACCACTTCTTGAATATATTGTTGCACAGTAATCTTGAAGTTTCTCTGTCACTAATGTTAATATCCTAGTGAGGACTAAAGGAAGAGGCTTATTTGAACATCTACTGGAACCTGCTATTAACTTTGTTTTTATAGATTCTTATGAAGATTCAGAATCCAACATTTATTTGGTAGTTCAAAATCATTTTGATTCTTTTGGGATATTTAACATATTCAAAACTGACATATGATTTTGAAGAATTTACTCCTTAGAATGTGGACTATGAGTATAAGTTGGATTACCACTTGTAGAATTAAATCCAAGTTCTTCTTGAGTACAATTTATATAATGTGCCTTACAAACGAAGACAATGTTGTTACATGTACCTGCTTTGTCAGCAGGGACCAAAACGTACTGATCTGATTATGCGATCTATTAGTAGGCCTTTCAACTAATTTTTCAAGTTGCACATATGGTAAAAAACATTGCATAGATAGATTTATAGGCACATGAAATTATCAAAAAAGATAAAAACTTATGCATACTTTTAATTACATCATTAAAAAGTTTAATAATTTATAATTGACTTTTCCGATGTTGTGTTTAAGAACAGGTAACTCAGGTGTAAAAAATGACCAACTATGTGACGATTCATGAGTTATCGTTTATAGGAATGGCATATAGGCTGTTTCAGCATTGGCATTGTTAAATACACAAATGGTTCCTTACATTGTTTTGTGCACAAAAAGTTTTGACCAAGAGAAAGAGAATGCCTTCACTCTACCTGAAATAACAGGGTCAAATAAACCTGGAACAGACTACATTCATAGTTTAAACTCTCTTTGACGATTACATGTATTATGAAGAAGAAAGTTTAATGTCATGTTTTTTGTTTTCGCGCTTTTTTGCTTCTTGTGTATATATATATATATATATATATATATATATTACAAGTAAATGCAACAATTGATCATCTTATTCGTGTTACTAAGCAAGAAGGGGAACGACCGAGCATAAAAATTTAATTAGGTTAGAACTGAGAAGGAGGGTAGATTTCATTTTATTTTTTAATTAAAAATTTTAATTATATCCAGTAAACCGATGTCCCCAACTATACAGTAAATAAGTTTAACATTGGGGCTAAATTTTAAAACCACTGGATTCTATTGAGAGTAAAGAAACACTTGGGAAATGCTAAAAACTGCCTTGCGTGTAAACAGTTTAATACCCCGAGCCTGCCCTAACGAAGTTTAAGCAGTGAGTTATCGTTCATAACACCAACCCCTAGCGGCAGTTGAAAGGCCTACTATTAGTCCTTTTTCAACTTCTAGACTTTTGAATACAGGATAGTTGTATTTCATATTGCCCCTCAGACTTTTGATACAAGGTTTAATCATGGATCAGATACATTTAATCCATTCTGACAAAGCACCAAGGTCTTCTTTTTCATATCTGGCCCATCGCATGACGTGATCTTCAACGAAATATATATTATTCATGAATTTCCGAGGCCAATTTAAGGATCGGGGTTCCCTATATTTAGGACCTTTTAAAATATGCGATCTAAGGTCCTGAGTATTTACTCTTTTTACATCAGCTGTAATAACGTGTCCAGCGGGACAATAGGTAAGATGTAGATCTAACTGTTGATTTACATAAGGTAGTAATGATCAAAAGAGACATCGTGTTTTAAAGGTTTATTGTAAGACCGATACCCAAGACAACTCTTACGTCTCCATGTATGGTTAAAAAGTCCCATCAGAAAGATTTCTTAAACGTATCCTTGTCTACGTGAAGGTATACTCAGTGAGGGGCTGTCTGTGTGGTGATCAATCTTTATTTGATAAATCCAAATTTCCTTGAGAAAATAGAATGATTAGGTGAATTGAAATGTTTGTATAATAGCTGCTGACCCCCATGATTTATTTGAAATCGATGACCTGATATTCTTTTATTAAATGATCCATTGGTTTCACCAACATGAACAAATTCACACTGATTACATTCTATTCCGTAGACACCATGAGAAGATTAGCAGGTAAGATTTTCCCAAGATTTGGTATAGAGGCTTTGTCCATTAAGATCACTGGTGAAATAAGTGTTATTTATCAAAATATCACAGGTTTTACAGGTTTTTTTTTTTTTTTTTTTTTACAGATTCTGAACATTTTGAAACAGAGGGCATGGGTTTGAAAAAGGAATCTTGAAATACATCTGGAAAAAAACCTTACATTCTTTCATTTTTATATGTTATTTGATTAATACCAAAAGTGGGAATCTGAAGATTAAATTTTAGTGAGTGGTATAAGAGGAGTTTCGGAAAAGAGATGGGTATTCTTCAATAATATAGAAAAAATGGCAGTGGCCATGCTTTGTAGAAGACCCAAAATATGTGCCTTATCGAAAAGCGAAATATGAGGATACAAAAGTATTATGTAGCAAAGGTTCTCTGAAAGTCTCATTAAATTCAGTTCAGTGTTCTAAATACCCCTAAGCGTTAAGATAGACGGACGGACATACAGACGAACATCCCATTACTATATACCCTACCGCTTTTTAGGTGTGGAACAAAGATATAAATCAGCTTATTAAGGGTATAATTTAACCAATTTTGCAATTAAGCAACATTTTAAAGTATTGTTGAACATTTTATTTGTTTATATCCTGGTAATGAGGCCCGGATTCGATTGTTTTCTCCTTGCCGTGTCTAAGTTAAGGGACTTTTAATGGAGATCTAAATACATTTTCAATCTATACACGGAAATAAATCAAACTTTAAAAAGAAATTACGATAATCATTCAATGAAATCTTGTCAACATAAAAAAAATATTGTCAACAGTTAAAAATATTAAAGAACTAAACAAGGCGTAATTGACGCAAAAAAATAAGCTACATATTACATTACAACTTTCTTGAAGGATTTTTATTTCTAAAGTATAAGTCACGTTATCCAACGATGGGGTATACGATGAGAAACCGATGCGTTTTTTGATGAAAATGGCGTAGTTGCCGGCCGGGCACCATTAGTGATCGGACGGTGACTGAGTCGTTTTTGCGAATCGGTTTGGTCATCGGTAGGAAATAATTCGTAGTTAAAATTCAGCGATGTCTCTACCGATGCCTCACATCTCTCCTCATCGGCAACCCATCATTAAAACATCTTTCAAGGATCGGCCGATGTATGGCCGAGCATCGTCCAATATCCGTTGAATCTGAGGTCATCGGGGAGTTTAGTTGTGTTCAACAGATAACGACCGACCATCGGTCGATGTTCGACCAAACATTGGCCCGTAGTCGACCGATGTACGAACGATGTTCACCAATGTATGAGCGATGTAATATACATCGACCGATTATCCTGGAACATCGTTTTATGATTAGCAATGCATCGCTGGGCCTTTTAAGTCCGGCCGGCAACCACGCCATTTATATCATAAAATGCATTGGTTGCCCATCGTATGCACATCGCTTGATAATGTGATTTTCTTTCATTTACAATTGATCTTAAAGGTCTCCATTCTTAAAATTTTAATAGCATATGACAGAAAAAAAAATGTTAAACGTCGTCAATATGTTTCAATGTCGTCTAAAGTTTATTCTCTACAGCATTTGTTTTTTTGATATGTTAAGAAATATTTTTTTTTTATTTGGCATATATTTTCTTTTTCTTTTGTATAAATATTGCTTTTGTTTAATGATTGTACGATTCGATAGTATTACGTATTTTATCAATCAATACTCTTTATTCATGGAAGCCAATCACAAAATAAATATCAGGAAAACATCACCATATTTCATTAAGAAAATTTATGAGTACAGTTATGTTTGATATAATTTGATAGACACAACACGGAAAGTATAATATTACCGAAGAATTCAAGCTAAAGTAAGTTATCAAATTCCACGTGGGACATTTTCAGTTCTTATTAATATTTCATTTGCTCAGAGAATTAAAATACAGTAAGTGAAAATCATTAAAATAAAAGCCAATGCTAAACGACTTCTGCTTGTGAAAATGAAATGAAAAATAAAGCGATTTTTGTAACATTTCTAACAGAATATTTATGTAAGAGAAGAAAACATTAAATTAAGGAGGGATTCTTGTCAGATTTCATACACCTTACAACTAATTGTATTCCATTAATTCAAGAAGACAATATAATTTAGTAATTGTATCGATTCGATTAAATTTGAACGTTTTATATTAGAGGTAAGGTCATTATATATTCCGTGGACAATACGAATTAGAAGATAACTGTTGCCGATCAGGCATATGCTATGTCTACTTTTATTTAACGACGTTCGATCCTGATATTTAAAGTCTTAAACTTTTTTTGCCAAGTATATTTTTAGTTTCTACATACATAGCTTAATTAAAATTCAAATCAAAAAATGGGGGTCAATACCTTCTTTTGGCGCTACAGTACATTTAATATGATCTTTTTGCACTGAAATTTGTGTCTTAATCA